TTGACATTTTTTCTTTTTAAAACAATAAAATTGTCATTCAAAAGCAAACCTGGTGAATAAGGTAAAGGGCGACTTTGAGAGTTGGTTTGTGGCAAACATTTAGATGTGAGATTTATTTTTTGTGAAGTGCCTTCCAGTTAAGTGAGCGATATTTCCTCTGTAGGGACTGATAATTCCAATACAAATGTTCACCAGAGGCAAGAGTAAGAAATACTTAAGAACCAGAATAATATCTCCCTCAGGGGCTTTTAGGAGACTAGAAGGAGAGGTTCATACAATTCACCTAGCACAGCACTTGGCACAGAGCAGACACTCTGCAAATGCTAGCTCCTTTTCTATCTTACTCCGGAGTAGAAGAGATGCAGCCTGGGAACTGGCAGGTAGAAACCTGTTTTGTTAAAGGAAACAGCCCCAGATGCCACAGACAGTCACAAGGCTCTTTAATCCAGGTTAGACGTCAAAGGTCATGCAGCAGAGATGGTTCCATGATAAATTGTCTCTATGTGATTAAGACAATTTGTTAAAATCCAATAGCAATGATTACGTTTGGCAACAAAATACTGTTTCCCTGCTTAAAACCCAATAGCAAGTATTACATTTGGCAACAAACTCCTCCCTCCCTCCCTCCCTTCCTTCCTTCCCGCCTTCCTCCTTTATGAATAATACTTATTGAGTATTATAAATACTTATTGAGAGTTTACTATGCGTATTAGTCCATCTTCATGCTGCTGATAAGGACATACTGGAGACTGGGTAATTTATAAAGAAAAAGAGGTTTAATGGACTCTCAGTTCCATGTGGCTGGGGAGGCCTCACAATCATGGCAGAAGGCAAAAGACACGTCTTACATGGTGGCAGGTAAGAGAGAATGAGAGCCATGGGAAAAGGAAACCCCTTATTAAACCATCAGATCTTGTGAGACTTACTCACTACCAGGAGAACAGTATGGGGGAAACCGCCCCCCATGATTCAGTTATCTCCCACCAGTTCCCTCCACATTATGTGGGAATTATGGGAGCTACAATGCAAGATGAGATTTGGTGGGGACACAGTCAATCCATATCACTATGTGCCAAGCTTAGGATATAATATTGAAAAACCAAACAAAAATTTTTGCCTTTATGGAGCCTTATATGTAGTGAACTAAACATCAGAGATAACAGAAAATTAATTTTCTATTCACAGATGATATGATTACATATTGAGAAAACCTAAGGGCCTTTGCCAAAATAAATAATAGAATTAGAATATTTTAAGAGGTAGCTGGAAACAAAATCAACAGTATCTTCTCTTTTTTAGTAGCAACTAGTTTTCTCATGGGAATGAGATGAAAACATATCCCCAAATCTAAAATCCCTAGAAAATAAATTTTACCAAAAAGGTTCACGACATACTCAGAGAAAGGTATAAATTTCTGTGTAGGATGTAGATCAATTATTGAATAAATAGAGAGCAATTCCATACTTCTGGAGGGGAAATATTTAAATCTTAAAAATGTGAATAGTTGAATATATATATATATATATATATATATAGTACAAAACTAAAGTTTGTACTTATACATTTTTAAGCTGGAGTGCAGTGGTGCAATCTTGGCTCACTGCAATTTCATCCTCCTGGGTTCAAGTGATTCTCGTGCCTCAGCCTCCCGAGAAGCTGGGATTACAGGTGCATACCAGCATGCCTGCCTAATTTTTGTATTTTCAGTAGAGATGGGTTTTGCCATGTTGGCCAGGCTGGTCTTGAACTCCTGGCCACAAGTGATCCACCTGCCTCAGCTTCCCAAAGTGCTGGGATTACAAGCATGAGTTACCTCACCTGCTGAGAATTTAATATATGTTAAAAGCAACATTTTAATTGAACGAGACACAGTCGGCACAAAAAATCCTTGCCGAATGAATTAAGGCTTGTGAGAGTTTGAGGGGGCGGGGAAAAGGCTCTCCATGCATTGCTAGTGGGAATGTCATTGTCAAAATAGTTATGGAAAGTAAATACGAGAGTATTTATTAAAATAAGAAGGTTTCTCTCCTTCATCATAGCAATCCTTTCCTTTTAGAGACTGCTCTTCAGGAACAAAAATGCCAATAGATAAAGCTATAGTTATTGCTTATAATGGCAAAAAGTGGAAACGATACAAATCTTCATCAAAAGAAGATTGGCTGACTAAACTAGAATACAATCATAGTATACAATATTGGGATAGAATGCAACCCTCTAAACGTTAGGTAGAATTACATATCTCTGTATCTAAGAAATACCCATGATGAATTGTTAAATGAAAAAGCAAGTTTCAGAATACGATTACTATTTGTGATCTGAGTCCATTTCTCTGTACGTGTAGGAGAGAGAACCACAGGCCTCTGCGGTCCGCGTGTGCATGGTGAGCGTGCAGGAGGCTGCGTGCCGGTGCTGTCCATGGGGTGGGGATGAACTGTGGCAGGATGAGTCATTTATTGCTGTTTCCTTTATACATGTTCTTTCTTTGACTTATTACAATGAGCACGTACTACTTTCATCATTTCATAAAATCCCGTAACAGCTCCTCTGCAAAGCCCTCCAAATAAATAAAAAGTCTGTGCTCTTCCAAGAGTGGGACTGAAGTGGTTTAAAGCTCCTCAACTCTGGCTGGCCCTGGGCAGGAGCCTGGGGGACTGACCAGGGAGAATGGGGAGAAGGAAGATACAGGCTCTGTCCTGGTGACGAGGGAGCATACCTGAGCTTGCCTGACCCAGATATCTTTTTTTTATAGTAACTTTTAATTTTGATATACTTTTAGACTTACAGAAAGGTTGCAAACAATCAGCGTGACTATATAACCATCTATAAAAAATCAGGGGCCAACACTGGTGTAATGCTATTAACTAAAGACTTCATTTAGGTTTTCCCATGTGCCTGCAACATCATTTATCTGTCCCAGGATCCAATCTAGATCCCATATTGCACTGAGCTCTTGCTCCTTAATATCCTCCAATTTGGGATAGCTTCTCAGTCTTTCCGTGTTTCTCTTGACTTTGACACTTTTGAAGGGCACTGGTCAGTTATTTTGAAGAATGTCTTTCAGTTTGGGCTTGTCTGATGTCTTCTTATGATTCGATGGAGAGTACGAGTTTTAGGCAAGAAGACCTCAGAAGTGCCTTTATCAGTGCATTGCAGCAGGGGTACGTGATGTAATATGTGTCATTGTTGGTTTTGTTAGCCTTGATCATTAGGTTAAGGTAGTGTCTGCTTGATTGCTTAATGCACAAGTAAATACCAGTAAGAAATGTAAGACATAAGAAATACAATAAGAAATTATAAACATAAATAAGAACTAGTTTTCCTTTTGTATTAATTTTTCCCTTTGTATTAACAGACATCTATATTTTTCACTCTGATTAATAGACATTTTGGGGGAGATACTTTAGCACTAGGCAAATATCCCTTTTATCCACAAACATTTGGCAGACCTTGCCTGCAACCATCATTACTGTGGTGTTTGCCTAATGATGATATAGTATTTTCCTCATACTTTCTGCATTTGTTAGCAGAATTCTTCTGTGTGACCTCTCTCTCCACCCCCATTTATTTACCCATTTTATTCTGTTATTTATTCTATTTGTATGGACTCAAGATGTTTATTTTATTATATGTGACAAAGACATCTTATGACCAATTTAAGTGGGGGACTTATGGACAATCTTCAGTTGTCTCTGTGTGTGTGTGTGGTGTGTGTGTGTGTGTGTGGGGTGTGTGTGGGGTGTGTGTGTGGTGTGTGTGTGTGTGGTGTGTGTGGTGTGTGTGTGGGTGTGTGTGGTGTGTGTGGTGTGTGTGTGTGGTGTGTGTGTGGTGTGTGTGTGTGGTGTGTGTGTGGTGTGTGTGGTGTGTGTGTGTGTGGTGTGTGTGTGTGTGTGTGTGTGGTGTGTGTGTGTGGTGTGTGTGTGTGGTGTGTGTGTGTGGTGTGTGTGGTGTGTGTGGTGTGTGTGTGTGTGTGGTGTGTGTGTGTGTGTGGTGTGTGTGTGTGGTGTGTGTGTGTGTGTGTGTGTGGTGTGTGTGTGTGTGTGTGGTGTGTGTGTGGTGTGTGTGTGGTGTGTGTGTGTGTGTGTGGTGTGTGTGTGGTGTGTGTGTGTGGTGTGTGTGTGTGGTGTGTGTGTGGGTGTGTGTGGTGTGTGTGTGTGTGTGGTGTGTGTGTGTGGTGTGTGTGTGGTGTGTGTGTGTGTGGTGTGTGTGTGGTGTGTGTGTGTGGTATGTGTGTGTGGTGTGTGTGTGTGTGTGGTGTGTGTGTGTGGTGTGTGTGTGTGGTGTGTGTGTGGTGTGTGTGTGTGGTGTGTGTGTGGTGTGTGTGTGTGGTATGTGTGAGTGTGTGTATAAGAGAGAGAATATGTAAATGGCATTTATGCAAGGTTTTATAGGGACACATCTCATTGTGATGAAAATACAGAACTTGCTTTCAAAATCAAAAGAAGAGCTTCAAAATTGTGAAAAACTCCATATCATAATAGGGGGTATTTTGACATATATGACTATATCCCGTTAACTTAAGAGATCCGAGGTCACAGGAAAATAAATGTGTAACTGGACTCGATGCTGAAGGGCTTAGGAAAGCCCTGAAAGGAACGAAGAGGTTTGGAAGGCACTGCCTGAGCAGAAAGAACCAGGAACATAGAAAAAGTGAAGAGCGAGCTTGGTCCTACTCACAGCCCTGTGCTGTGGTCCTGGTTCCTAGTTCACAGGGTGAGTTCTGAGGTCAGGCTGGTGTTTGCCTCTCCTCTGGTGCCTTAACCTCCTCCTCTGTAAGATGGCAAGCACAGTAGGATCTACTGCATGGGATGTTGTGAGACTGGATGGGCACTATTGCCTATGAGGTATTTACAAGATCTCCTGGCACATGGCCGGTGCCCAGTGCCAGTAGCTGCTGCTTCTTTTTTTTTTTTTTTTTAGATGGAGTCTCACTCTGTCACTAGGCTGGAGTACAGTGGCACAATTTCGGCTCACTTCAACCTCCGCCGCCTGGGTTCAAGTGATTCTCCTGCCTCAGCCTCCTGAGTAGCTGGGATTGCAGGTGAGCACCATCACGCCCACTAACATTTTTGTATTTTTAGTACAGACAGGGTTTCACCATTTGGCCAGGCTGGTCTTGAACTCCTTTTAATACCCTGCCGTACATCCTTGACCACTTGAAGTGGCTCGAGTGGGTTCTGTTCTTTGCAAGTGAGCACAGACAGGTCATGATAGACTTGGAACCTTCTCTTGGCATTAGCTACATATCTGCATACCAGGTGTACAGTTTCGTTAAAATACTGACAAGACGATGGCATTGCATGTAGACCTGCTTTTTTCGTATGATGATCTTGGTTCCACTTACAATGAAAATATGCCTCCTTTGCTGATAAACAGATAATAAATGCAGTACTCACATTTCTGTCTGACTTTTTATAGGCAGCTCCTCCAATTCCAGAGAGTACTGAATATTAGGCCATAATTGGATTCTACAATAATTTTGGAGGAAAGAAGAGCTCAGGGAAGAGTCTATAACTCATGCCAACTTGGAAAATGGATGAAATGGATGGAAAGAAAATTGATTATAACTTTAAAAGGACACTAATATTATGGAAGATGTTTAAAGGGCAATCGCCTCTACAGATTACAAAGCAATTTAGGAAACGGATCCACAAATATTTTAGAAATACATTTTTTCTTTAAGAAGAAATGATTAACTATGCCTCGCTCCCCCTCTGGCTGTCAGTCACTTAACTGAGTTGTCTCAATATTTTATTTAAATGTGATCCACATTTGTCAGACTTGAGTGTTTCAAGAATTGTGTTGCAGAGTCTCTTGAGAGAGAAGCCCATTCTAAACGGTCCCACTAATGTAATATTTATGCTAATGCAAATGCTATAAAGACAGTTGGAACATCCCTTTGGACACTGCGTGAATGAGTATCAGCATAGTTGTATCTGACAATGATTTTTGTAAACTGAGAAACTTTGTGAGACCTAGGTAGGGCTGAAGGAATGAGATGCATAGATTTACACTCTGACATGATGTGGGGTTATCCCCCAAAACATATATAAACACGCACAATTATGCACATTTGCATATAGCCTTACATACTTACATCCACAAAGATATATACCATTCATGTATATACACACACAAGCACATATACATGTAAAACACGAACATACACATGTATATATATCCACATTTATATACATCCACATACATACCCACAAACATGCACATGCACACACTCATATAAGCATATATAGTCATGCATTGCTTAACAAAGTGGGTCTGCCTAAGAAATGCATCATTAGGTGATTGTGTCCTTGTGCGAACGTCATAGTGTACTCACACAAACCTGGCTGCCTACACACTTAGGCTGTCTGATATCGCCTATTGCTCCTAAACGGTAAACTTGTTCAGCATGTTGCTGTATTGAAAATTGTAGGCAACTGTAATACAATAGCAAGTATTTGTATATCAAAACAATATAAACATAGAAAAGCACAGTAAAAATATAGTCTAAAAAATAAAAAATGGTCCACCTGTATAGGACACTCACCATGAATGGAGCTAGCAGAGCTGGAAGTTGCTCTGGGTGAGTCAGTGAGTGCGGAGTGAATGTGAAGGCCTAGGACATTACTGTATACTCAAGTAGACGTTATAAATACTGTACACTTAGACCACACTAAGTTTATTAAAAGTTTTCTTTCTTTAATAATTATCCTTAGCCTACTATAACATTTTTACTATCTAAACTTAAATTTAAAAAAAAACCATTTTTACTCTTTTGTAATAATTCTTTGCATAAGACACAAACAAATTGTATAGCTGGACAAAAATATTTTCTTTCTATCCCTATTCTATGAGCTTTTTTCTATTTTAAAATGTTTAATTTTTTAAACTTTTGGATTGTTTCGTTAAAAAAAAAAACCAAACCAAGATGCAAACACATACATTAGCTGAGGCCCCCACAGGGTCAGGATCACCCATATCACTGTCTTCCACCTCTACTTCTTGTCCCACTGGAAGGTCTTCAGGGACAGGAACACGCATGGAACTGTCATCTGTGATAACGATGCCTTCTTCTGGAGTCCCTCCGGCGGGACCTGCGTAAGGCTCTCCTTGAGGAGATGTCCCCCTTTTCAGAAACACAATCACGACGGTTTGCCCGGTTTGTTTCCTCTACTCATCACAGATTTGCGTCAGCAACGGGTTGGTCACTAGGCAATAGGAATTTTTCAGCTGCACTGTAACCTAAGGGACCACTGGTGTCTATGTGGTCCAGTGTTGACCCAGACGTCACTATGCAGCACTTGACTGACTGCACACACGTAAAGCATGAACACACACACCGCGTTGCCTAGTTTGACCTGGTGCCTGTTATTTTTTTGTATCTGTAGACAGCAGCACTTTAAGATCTATGTTTACATCAGTACTCAGGCTGTTCCTGGTGACTCCTGATGACGCAAGCATCCAAACTTCACCCTGGAATGTGCAGCTGATGGTGAGGATGGGCACCTCAGGGGTTGCAGTGACAGCAGTGGTTGCAGCCTACGGAGTGCTGACAGAGTGCCAGTCCTGGCCCTGAGCACCATGCATGTGATTTACTCATTACAGCGGAACCATGAAGCAGACGTGGCTATTTCACCATCTCATGGTTAAGGACATGCAGTCTGCAGAGTCTCAATAGCTTGCCCTGTGTCACACGTGGAGAGTGGACATTGGCTCCAAACCCCCAATCCACTTATCCAGGCCACCGTAGCACCCTGACCCCTTAGAATCTGGGGCTTTCTGCTGAAAGCCCATAAACAGATCTCAGTTCCCGTGGGGCCTGAGCCACAGGTACAAGGGCCCCTGGTTCTATCACTTACTTTTGGTAAATTCTCCACTTTAAACAAGAGCTACCTGGTCTGTACCTGGGAGACCACAGTTTTATTTGAGGAAAATATTACCTGAAATTGGGGCAAGGTTGCTCAACGGAATAAAGGGTGCCCACTTTGTGTGTGTTTTGTAGTGGTGTTTTGCTTTGTTTTTGAAACAGAGTCTCGCTCTGTCGCCCAGGCTATGGTGCAGTGGCGCCATCTCAGCTAATTGCAACTCCCACCTCCCAGTTGGAGTGATTCTCCTGCCTCTTTGTGTATTTTTAGTAGAGATGGGGTTTCATCATGTTGGTGAGTCTGGTCTCAAACTCCTGGCCTCAGGGGATCTGCCCACCTCGCCTCCCAAAGTGTTGGAATTACAGGCATGAGCTACCGCGCCCAGCCTTAAGGATGCCCTCTTTGGATGGCAGGGCAAACCGAAATTGAAGAGCTACTGGATGCCAAGCCTGGCCTGTCTCCGGTGTGATGTATATTTGTGCTTTGCTCTCTGTTTAGGCTGGGGATCTGCTTAGAAGAAAGTGCATATTTTAAATGATACTAGAAAAGGGTCCAACAGAAAACATAAAACATAGCCAGGGGAGGAAAAAACCCACAGAACAGGAATCAGCCTGTTCCTCAGCCCAAATGGAATCACTTGAAAACTGTTATTGCTCTCTACATTTCTAAAGAGTGAATTATTGGTTTTTCTGTTAAAAAAAGTTTTATATAGAATTATGATGACTGACTGAACTCATGTATCTACCATCATTTCAGCCGCAATTCCCACAAAAATGACAAGAAAATTTTAAAAGAATAAATCCTTAGTGATGCAGGAAAACAAAAGAGTGCCGTGGGGTAAGAGAGATCTTGAACAGTTTCTGAAAGACAGAGCACAAACAGGATCAGCTCCCATGAAAAATAAAGCCAGAGCAAAATGAATACAGGAGAAGACAATGTGAGGCAGGAGGGTTTGGGGAGATCAGGCCAAAGGTCAGTGAAATGCAAAACTATAGCAGACAAACAATAGACATCATTAGGCACCAAGGACTCAGAAAATGTACCACTGCTGGACTGTCTACCTTAGATTTTTTTTTTTTTTTTTTTAAGAAATGTGCATGGGCCGGGCACGGTGGCTCAAGCCTGTAATCCCAGCACTTTGGGAGGCCGAGACGGGTGGATCACGAGGTCAGGAGATCAAGACCATCCTGGCTAGCACGGTGAAACCCCGTCTCTACTAAAAAATACAAAAAACTAGCCAGGTGAGGTGGCGGGCGCCTGTAGTCCCAGCTACTCGGGAGGCTGAGGCAGGAGAATGGCATAAACCTGGGAGGTGGAGCCTGCAGTGAGCTGAGATCGGGCCACTGCACTCCAGCCTGGGCGACAGAGCGAAACTCCGTCTCAAAAAAAAAAAAAGAAATGTGCATGAGCCAAACAAAAATAAATACAAAGGAAACATGAAGGTTACACCAGAAGCGGTAAGCAAATACACTTGAAAACGAGTAAACGTGCCTAATGATCACAAGATGGCTGCCACAGCTCTAGATCTTATGCTCTTACATCATCAGCATCCTATGCAGGAGCAAAATGTCAGGAAGGCCTCTGTTAGGAAATGCTGGCTTAGATTTAATAATCATTTGTCTCCTAGCATGGGCATATTGCTACCCCTGAAAAAAAACTCAGGGTGTGTGGGCAAATAGAAGTGGAGTGGAATAACTGCTGGATGAGCAGTTGACATGGGAGACAAAAACAAACAAACAAACAAACAAAAGATGTAGAAGAGTGGAATGGCATAATTAACAAACTTAACTATAAATGTATATAAATCTATACACACAGACACATTTCTCTTATGCCAACAAAGACCATACCCTCTTTTCGAACACAAACAGAACATCCACAAAAATTGTTGCTGAGGTAGAACACAGAGAACAGCTTAAGAAATTCCAAAACGGGCCGGGCGCAGTGGCTCACGCCTGTAATCCCTGCACTTTGGGAGGCCGAGGCGGGCGGATCACGAGGTCAGCAGATCGAGACCATCCTGGCTAACACGGTGAAACCCCGTCTCTACTAAAATACAAAAAATTAGCCGGGCGCGGTGGCGGGCGCCTGTAGTCCCAGCTACTCCGGAGGCTGAGGCAGGAGAATGGCGCGAACCCGGGAGGCGGAGCTTGCAGTGAGCCGAGATGGTGCCACTGCATTCCAGCCTGGGCGACAGAGTGAAGACTCCGCCTCAAAAAAAAAAAAAAAAAAAAAAAGAAATTCCAAAATGAAAAAATCAGATAAGACACATTTTCTGAACAGACAGCAGAAAAAGTAAGCATTAATATCAAAAGCCTGGCAAAATGGTTCTATTTCAAGATTTTAAAACACGCTTTAAGATAAAAAAGAAAAGAAAAACTAAATAACTGGAATTAGTTACGGATTAAGAAATGAATGTCCATGAGAGTACCACGTCATGAAAGACATGGACAAAGCAGTCGTCAGAGGAAAATTTGTAGCTCTCAACCCTGGTGCTAGAAAACAAGAGAGGCAGAAAAACAATAATAAAATAAAAGCAAAGATAGCAAAAGTAAGAAAATAATAAAAATAAAAGTAAACATCAGTGAAAGAAAGCATAAACAAACAGAATGGTAGTGCTTTGAAAATAAAAAATAATTTAAATAAATTTCTGGACATTCTGAACAAGTAAAAAACAAAACAGTCGGCAGCAACCAGGCATAAATGAAAGCATTTGAAGTGAAAACGTGTCCAAAACTGAAGTTATAAAAAGGTTAGAACTGAATACAACTTTATGTCAATATTTTTGGGACTTTAGATGAAAGTAATGCTAATCCAGGAAAATATAAATTACAGTAGAATCCCTCTAATCCAACACAGTCCAGGCCTATAGTCAGTTGGTTAAGTGAAAAAAGTGTTTAAAGTGAATAATTATTAAAAAAAAGTCATTATGGATCTCAAACTTTTACTTTAATTGAAACCATAGAAACATATATTCACTCACCAATGTTTTATGCAGGGTTAATGCCTTCTCTTTAAAACTGGACATCTGATTGTATTTCTACCTCATTTTTCTTATGTAAACACTTATAGTTCACTTTTGACAATTTATGGGTTTTGATTTTTGAAACAGAGGGAAAATATTAAGACATACACTGTTCAGTAATGCCCCCTAATCCATGCGGGATATGTCCCAGGTCCCCTAGGGGATGCTTGAAACCACAGATACCAAACATGATTGCTGTCAGTCGGAACACATTTTTGTTGAAGACTTCCATCCATAGATTCAATGCCTTTCCCACCTTAACTAAATACTTACTAACACTGTGGCCATAACTTTGGCAGCTGGAGGTATGACAGCAAAACTAGCACAAATTTCTTTTTCTCTCTTTACAGTTTTACAGTTGGCAGGTTCGTTCTCATCATAGATCTTACCAACATAAGCATAGTATTTGTTCCCCTTATTAAGTTGAGAACTTTCACCTTTTCACTTAAAGGAAGCACTTTATGGCTTCTCTTCAGCATATTTGAGCTCTCAGCATCACTACTCTTGCCCTTTGGAGTCACTATTAACCAAAATAAGAGTGACTTGAACACAGGGCACTGTGATACTGATACCATGACAGCCAATCTGCTAACCAAGATGGCTACTTGGTGACCAACAGGTGGGGAGTGTCTACAGCTGGATAAAAGATGATTTAAATCCTGGGCAGGATGGAATGGGACAGCAAGAGAATTCATCATGCCACTTAGAACAGTCTGCAATTTAAAATTTATAAATTGTTTATTTCTGGAAATTTCCATGTAATATTCTTGGACCATGGTTGACTTTGGGTAATAGAAACTGAGGAAAGGGAAACGTCAGATAAGCAGGGGGCGGGGGGGAACTATTGTAATCTGATTGTGGAATTCTTATAAATCAAAGCTTCTCAAACTTTACTGTGCACACAAATGTCTTGGGGATCTTGTTAAAATGCAGAGTCTGACTCAGTAGGTATGGGTGGGGTTCTGAGATTTGGCATTTCTAACAGGCTTCCAGCTGATATTGGTGCATGGGCCACACTTTGAGTAATAAGGATATAAATTCCTGCCTTCACCCATGCTTCCAGTTGTATTAGAACATTTAAGTACAAATCATTTATCTAAGTGACTCAATTCTATCTAGTCCTCCTAAAGTTTTCAACTTAGTCTTCATGAAAATGAAAACTTGTTTTTGGCAATTATGCCATTGGTCCATATAATGTTAAATTAAATAAAGTAATTATACAGGTACACTTGTAAATACATTTGAGAGCAAACAGCTGAAAGCTGGTAAGCATTCACCTTAAATCATGGAAGCAGAGGGTAGAATTATAACAGAAAGTAACCTATAGGCCTACCAAAATATCCAACTTGTTGTGAGAATCCTCCCTTCAAAAGCACTTTACCCTGTCCCTGAAAAAGCCCCAGACCCAGAGGTTATAGGTAGGTTTTACCAAATTTGCAAGGAATAAATATTCCCGATCTTACGTATGTTTTTTCAGTAAGCAAAAAATGAGACATATGTTCTGCTTTGATTTGAATGTTTGAGCCCTTTGAAACTCATGTTGACATTTCATTGCCATTGCAACAGTATTAAGAAGAGGGGCCTTTGAGAATTAATTATGTCATGGGGGCTCCATGAGTGGGTCAATGCTGTTATCTCGGGAGTGGAATGACCCTTGCCAGAGGCCAGCATCACACTCTTGGACTTACCAGCCTTCAGAACCATGAGCCAAATAAACTTATTTTCTTTATAAATTACCCAGTCTGTGGTATTCTGTTACAGCAACAGGAAATGGACTAAGACATGTGTATTAGTCTGCTCTCATGCTGCTAATAAAGACATACTCAAGACTGGGTAATTTATAAAGGAAAGAGGTTTAATTGACTTACAGTTCCACATAGCTGGGGAGGCCTCACAATCATGGGGGAAGACAAAGGAAAAGCAAAGGAACGTCTTACATGGCAGCAGGCAAGAGGATATGTGCAGGGAACTGCCCTTTATAAAACTGTCAGATCTTGTGAGACTTATTCACCATCACGAGAACAGCACAGGAAAGACCTACCCCCATGATTCAATTACCTCCCACTGTGTCCCTTCCATGACACCTGGGAATGATGAGAGCTACAATTCAAGACGAGATTGGGCTGGGGGCACAGCCAAACCACATGAACATGTCCCAACTCATTGTGTAAAGTTCATACAATCCTTATCCCAAGCTAGGTAAGAGTACGAGAAAAAAAAATCACATTCATATAATTATGAACATAAATATGAAAATCCCAATTAAATTTTAGCTCACTGATTTTAATTTTATATTTTAAAGAAGTAAAATATGATGAAGAATCAGGGCTAATACTTCAAATGTAAGAATGGTTCAATATCAGAAAATCTATTGACATAGTTTATCCCCTTCATGGACAAAGGAGAAAAACTATGTATCCTCTCAATGGATATAAAAGTATTTTAAAATATTCAATTTTTTTCCTAATTAAGGAAAAAATCCTTGTTCACTTATTAGTAGAAAATATTCCCTTAACCTAATAGAGGCTATCTATTGGAAATCTACAGTTGAACCTTAAAGAACACAAATAATTTTGAATAAATAGAAAGACCTATCATTTTCCTGAAAGGATGCCCTAATATTATAAAGATTGCATTTTTCCCAAATAATATAAACTCATTTCAATCACAATAAAAATCCAAAGAAGATTTCTCTTTTTAGTTGGAATTGTCAAACTGATTCTCAAGTTTATATGCAAAAGAAAATGCCTAAGAATAGCTGTTCTGAAACATTTGGAGAAGACAAGTAACAGATAGGGAGATTTTAGCAAACAAATAAATAGTATCCGGAATGTATAATGAGCATCTACAAAACCATAAGAACAATGCAAACAATGAAAGAGAAAAACTGACAAAATAAATAGGCTATTTACAGAAAACGAAATACAGGTAGCTAATAAACATATATAAAAATGTCCAGTCTCAGGAAATTGCAAATTCAAATCAGGGCTCGTTTGTTTGGGTTTTTGGCCATTGGATTAGAAACAATAAGAAGAGTTGTTAAATACATTATATTCCATCCACTTAAGGAAAAAGGTATGTTAAATAATTGTATTTCATCCATTTAAGGAAAAAGATAGATTGCTATGAAATATAGCGAACACACAAAGAAGAACATGTACGTGTAAACTCTAAGTGTGTGTACATGAGAAAAAAGTCAGCGCATCTAGAATGCCAGTGCCCAGCCTAGACATGCTGGGCTGTTAACCCAGGCCCAGTGGGGCAGAAGGGTGGGCCAGGCACAGTGCCTTGTACAATTTGCTCAGGACACTAGTATGTTATTGAATCTCTGGTATGAGGATCTATTAATAGATTTTTTAAAGTGCCCTAGCCAAATTCTATGCCTTCTAGAAAAATATTCTGCTTCTGTTGTTCCTTTAGAGAGCTGTTCAGCAGAGAATCTAGACGTTTCCTTCTGAAACAAATCCAATAACTATTCAACTATCAAATTTAGCATTCTGGCTGTATAGAAAAATAACAATGCTATATTAAGTTACCACTGTGAAGTAGGTGGCCAAACTGTATATGTGACATTCTTAGTTTTTCAACAAACTGAATATGCCTAAGGCACGTTTCCTGAATGCTTCTTCCAACAGCCAAAGCATGATATTATCATCCACACAATTTACATTCCCAGAATGGAAGTTTGCATTCCGACAAGGGAAAAGGCTCTGAGGCCCAGGCCCCTGCCCCGCTGCATGCCATGTATTTTGGGAGAGTCATCCTTTCTCAGGGACATGGTTTGCCACTATGTTCAGGGGGAACAGTATGAGTCACCTCCTCCCAGGGCTTTTCAAGAATCGATAAAATGAATCTGAAACAAACAAAGATTTGATCCAACATGAATACTGATTTTAACAACTTGTTTTGATTCCCTTGACGTTTTCCATTTCTAATTTTAGAACGGAATGAAATTATTTTTGAATGCATGTTTATGAATTTTCTGGCCACTTTTAAGCCTTTAACTATTTCACACTTTCTCTCTGAAGATCAAAGAAACTCTAGTAACATGGAAATTCATGCTCTGAGTAGTGACAAGCCAGTGACTTTTTCTATAGAAAGGGTACCAGACTCCAATGTGAAAATCTCAAGCAGCTTTACATTCAAGCAAGTGCAGTTCAATCTCTTCCTGACTCATTGTCTCATCAACATGCAAAGCTCTTGAAGAGAAACCATCTCTTACTTGCCTGAGGGAATTCTGGCAGACGTTTTGAATGTGGATGTGGAAGTTCTTCCCTCGTCTCCATCCTGTCAAGAGCCGTGGAGCAAACAGCAGGATGAGGAAGACATGGAAGACAAAACTGATAACGCACGTCACCTCGCTGCAGCAGGAGAGGGGATGTAACTTCAGTTCAGCCTCTTTGGGGTTTGGGTTTTGACCAAGTAAACCGGGAATGTTGTTAACACATCAAGCCAGCTTTTATTGTTTGTCTTAACCAAAGAAAACACAAAATGACACTTACTTTGTTGCTCAATTCGGTTTTAACTTGTTGATGTCCCTCCCCCCGCCAAAAAAAAATCATACTTGAAAATGCCTGGCAGGGACCCCTGAGATCTAGGGTTTGAAATGCTCTTTTGACAAGTTGAGAGGTTAAAAAGAATTCAGAAACATACTGTAGAGCCTCATGGGGGATTTTAGAAAAAACATATGCAAAGCATCTTTAAATGTGTGGAAAATTGCACTGAAGTCAGATTGTTTTCCTATTGATGTTGCATTGCTTGCCTGCAAGAGGTGGGGTGGGCACATGGTGGGGGGAGAGCAGGAGTGCTTATTAGGGTGCTGTCAGACCTCAGTGTGGAATTCCGCTTCTCACAGTTGGCCATAATCAATCAGTCAGACTCTCTCTCTCCTCCCTTCTGCCTCTCCCTTTCTTTCCCTGGTTGAAGGGGCCCTCTTAAATCGCTCTTGAGCCTGCATTCTAATTTAATCTCTCTCCCACGTGAAATCCACTTCTCCCAGCTAAGCTGCGTTTTGCAGCTTTATGACGGTACCGAAAGCACTTTATTTCCACTTAAAGAGCTGCCTGTTCTATTTACCATCACTCTCAGGGTACTTAACCTCATTTAAAAGGCTGACTTTCCCCTGCATTATAAAGTTGATCGGGAGTCTCAAAGCCTCTTTCTCTGCCCAGCCCGCAGCCAGCTCTCTCCAGCCACCCTAGCCTCGCCCTCACCCCTCCCAGACTCTGTTCCAAGGCCCAGGCGCGCTCCGCGTGGGCGACGTATCCCTGAGCGCTCCGCCTCCGGCCAGCCTGACCGCTCCGTGCTCGGTGTCACTCCTGGCACGTCTCCACATTCCTAAAATCCCAGAGAGGACCTCGAAATAGGATAAAAAAACGAGAATTTAAATACGAAGCAACAGCCCTTGCAGGGCTGCCTGCTCTGGCTGGGAAGGGCCTGGGCCTCCGCCTCCACCTGAGACGCTTGTTTCCTGCGCGGTTTTGCAACGTCAGAGCCGTCCACACTCGCAGGCCATTTTTAGCGGCCTGTTGGAAGGGGAAGACAGTGAAGTCGGCCTAAGCAGAGCAATGCTTTGCCCTCTGAGAGGCGAGGAGGACCCTTGGGAAGCTCAGAGAGCTACGATAAAATGGCTAAACGACCTTCCTCTCCTCCAAGTCACCAAATACGAGCCAGGTGGGCACCAGATGGGCAAACTGAGCTTGGTCGAAGCTTGTGCCTTCGCCTTCGTGTCTTTGGTTGGGGCTGTGTCACTGGGGACTGGGCCCGTTAGACCGACGACAGATGCGCCGCATCCGAGAGGAAAGTCACCTGTCTCGCAGGGAGGATGGCAGGGTGGCTGCTGGGGCAGGCGGAGCCCACGAGGGTGGGGCCGGGAGATCCTGCTCGTTTTGCCCAGTTGGCCCCTGCAGAGCCCGACACCCACAGCGCAGAGAGCACCCCGGCTGGGTTCCCTGACCGCGTCCCCGGAAGGCAGGAGCACATTTCCGCGGTGGCCCAGGCCCCGGCTCCCCTCGTGCTCGCGGGAAAAGTGGCTTGGATGGATGAGCGCGCCTCCCTCCCGCTCACATTCCCAGTGCAGGCCAAGGCCAGAGCTGCTTTTCCCGCACACACAGGGAGGGACGGCCAGCTCACGGTGCAGACCAGCGGGATGGGGCTTCACCTCTTGCTACCGTCTCAGTGTCCCCTCAAATCATACCTTGAAACTCGCAAATGGAATGGTATTAAGACCCAGCACTTTGGGAGGCCAGGGTAGGAGGATCACTTGACCTCAGGAGTTTGAGACCAGCCTGGGCAACATAGTGAGACCCCTGTCTTAAAAAAAAATACAAAAATTGGCCAGGCATGGTGTCAGCACCTATAGTCCCAGTTACTTGGGGGGCTGAGGTGGGAGGATCACTTGAGCCCAGGAGGCTGAGGCTGCAGTGAGTTGTGTTGGGACTGCTACATTCCAGCCTGGGCGACAAAATGAAACCCTATCTCAAAAAAAAAAAAAAAAAAAAAAAAAAAAAAAAAAAAGTGGGTCCTTAGGGCGTGACTGAGTCCTAAGCTCAAGCCCTGGTAAATGGGAGGAAGGCCTTCTAGAGGCTTCCCATGGTGTTCACCCCATTGCCTGCAAGGACACAGGTTGGAGGCCCCCTGGAAGCAGCCTTGCAGACAGGGAGCCTGCAGCGCCTGGGTCTCGGACTTCCCAGCCTCCAGAACTGTGAGAAAGAGACTCGTGTTTTTCATACATTACCCGTCTCAGGTATTTTATTACAGCAGCACAGACAGACTAAGACACCTCTCTTCCCTCGTCTTCCAGTTTTCTGAGCATAAATCCTCAATGGGCGTGAAGTGCAGAATGGGAAGGCAAGGTGCACAGAATGAGCTCACTAGAGAAAGGAGACTTTCCTTCTCCCTTGTGGTTTCACCTGCAGTCCCTAGTCTCCAACTGATGAAGAAGGGGCCTGGCCAGAAGCTGTGGTTCCACCCCTTGGTTCCCTCCACACTGTCTCCCTCTCCGACCCGTCTCCTAAATATGTTTCCGATGACACAGAGGTTAATGCTGGCTGCCTCAGGCCTGAGAGGCAGATTCTTTCCACGCCCAGAGGAGCCTGGCTTCAGGGTGAAGGGTGAGCAAAGTTCCTATTGAACTCGTGGCTTCTTGGAGCAGGGTTTCCAAGAATTGACACTCCAAACCAGTATCCCAGGGCCTGGTCTGCCAGGCACACAGCCATTGTGTGTTCCTTTGCAGCTGCGAAACAGCAGGCAGCAGCCGCAGCTAATGTTTTTGAGCATTTCCTTCTTGCCTGTCTCTCTCCTCAAAGCTTAACAGACGGTGTCAGGGGCATGTTGTACAAAATCATGAACTGAAGCATTTTCTCAAGAGCTCCTCTCATCTAATGCATTTAGATATTGCACAAGGGAAAAGATGCAGACACCAGCCTCACACTCTCCCCTTTCTCTAACTGGGGACATCTCCTACAGGTGACATTTGAAATTCAGTCTCTCTTGGTGCCACCTCAGGATTTAACCCCAGCCTGAGTCCCCCTCCCCATCCTCTCCTTTCAAAACCTGGACCACCCAGGAAGTGGCCTTCAGTTTTCTGGAATGGATCAGGGAGGTGAGCCACTGCATCAGGGGAGGGTGTTGACATGACTATGCGCCTTCTCTTTTTTGGGGAAGCCCTTTGTAGCAGAAAATAATATTTACTATGGAAACAACATAAATGAGTTTTTGTTGAGGACTCTAGGTTCGCCTTGTTAAGATAAATCTTAATAGGCTGAAAATTTTGCACTATTTTTATGGTTCTAAATATTCCAGGCATTTAATATGCATTGAAGTCAGTGGGTCACAGCCTGTGGCTTAGACCAATTAGAGCCAATTTACACTCCTACCAACAGTGTAAAAGTGTTCCTATTTCTCCACATCCTCTCCAGCATCTGTTGTTTCCGGACTTTTTAATGATCGCCATTCTAACTGGCATGAGATGGTGTCTCATTGTGGTTTTGATTTGCATTTCTCTCATGACCAGTGATGATGAGCTTTTTTTTCATATATTTATTGGCCGTATAAATGTCTTCTTTTGAGAAGTGTCTGTTCATATCCTTCGCCCACTTTTTGATGGGGTTGTTCATTTTTTTTCTTGTAAATTTAAGTTCCTTGTAGATTCTGGATATTAGGCCTTTGTCAAATGGATAGATTGCAAAACGTTTTTCCCATTCTGTAGGTTGCCTGTTCACTCTGATGATAGTTTCTTTTGCTGTGCAGAAGCTCTTTGGTTTAATTAGATCCCATTTGTCAAACCTGCATGGTCTGCACATGTATCCCAGAACTTAAAGTATAATTAAAAAAAAAAAGAACTAATAGCGCCATTCCATGACTGGTGTTTCATGGGGCCGTTATCGCTTCGGCCTCCTGTGCAGCACTTCAGACTTTGGGAATGTGTGTCTAGCATTGATGCTGAGCGTGGATTCAATCATAAAGACCTACATGCAAACACTGGCATTTGTTTGTGTGACCCAGACAGGTTAACGCTCTAAGCCCTAATTTCCTCAGCTGTAAAACAGGCAATAATGACAGTCCCTATTGTATAGAGTTCTGAAAATTAAATACGCTCAGTGCCTGACAAAAAGTAAATCTTCAACAAATGTCAGTTCTTATTATTAAGGTTTTTACCACATCCTTGCTCAACGATTTGGAGTTTTTGTGTTATTCTCTGCGGAGGAAAATTGGCTTTGTGCTTGATTAAAACCTACCTTGGTTACCCCAATATCCTGCTGCTGTCCAGACAGCAAATAGTCTTTTGCAGAAGCAGGTAGCTCTTTAATTCTAGAGACAAGAAAAGGAGGCTGGAGGGTTCTGAGTTTCTCCAGGGGTGTGCGGGGTTGACTGGGTGTAGGAATCATCATTGACCACTTTGTTTTCCAAGAAGGCCCACAAAGGGCTATACAGTTAGTATTTTATCAGGGACAAATAGGGAGTCTCCTCCATTGTACATTCAATGAATACTTGCAAAGGAAATGCGTGAATGAATGAATGAACAAATGAGTCATTTCCTTCTTGGTTTTCTCTAGAAAGGAAATATATAGTCATCCCTCTGTATCCAAACAGGATTGTTTCTAGGACCTCCCACCCTCAACTCCGTGGATACCAAAATCCACAGATGTTCAAGTCCCCGTTTGCATACAGCCTATCCACATACTCCCGTATGCTTTAAATCATCTCTAGACTATGGATAATACCTAACACTATGTAAATAGTTGTTGTATTACATTGTTTAGGGAATAATGACAAGAAAAAAGTCTGTACATGCTCAGTACAGATGCAATCATCTTTTTTTTTTTTTTTTGGTAATATTTCTGATTCACGGTTGAATCCAGGGATGCTGACCCTACAGATTTGGAGGGCCGACTGCACTCCATGGTCAGCGTATATTCTGTGAGCTGAATGAAGCTGGGTCTAGATCTCAGCCCTGTCATTGACCTTGGGCATATTACATGGCCCCTTTGTACCTTCCTACGTTCATTTGTCCACCTGGCATCACACCCAACTCACAAGAATGGTGGGGTTAAATGAACCATTAATGCCAGGCACTTAGCACAGGGTTTGGTGTGTTCATAACAAGCATCACCAGCAGCAGCTGCGTCATCATGATCAGTTTTCTCTGCCTTGCCTCTCTCCACCTGAAGCAGCTCTTGGATGGGAAAGGTAGCGATGGTGGTCAGAGCCAGCCTTGGTGCCACTGTGAGTTTCAAATAGTGGTATCCGTAATTCCACCTATGTCTGTTGGCTGAATGTATTTAAACGAAGTATCTATTTATGTTTGATTCTATATTTGAGTATCTGTGTGTATCTGCCCTACAGACCCCTCATCCCCTCTGTACGGTGTCGTATGTATTTAGATCTGTTTTCTTCCTTACCATGCCCCTTACTGTTGTGTACTTTTCAGGCTGGTGGAGACGGTTTAAATTCTTGAAGATTTTGAGTGAGTGAAGGGCATCCGATCGTTTTTCTCCTCTATCACATTTCCCACTGGGGAAAGAAAGGCTGAATGAATACCTTTTTAAGCTTTCCCTAAATAAGTCATTTCTATGCTCTAAGATAGCAGGAGAAATGTCAGCACAAATGCTAATTAAGAAATAAGTAACATCACAGACCAAAAAAAGGAGCAGAAAACGAATCCTCTCTATTGTGGTGGAAGTGTAGGTCCTCCCTATCCGACATCAGTCCAAGAAAAGAAACAAGGTCGAGATGATGTGTTTATATTGTAAGGAAGCTGTGGGTCGGGCTTTTACACATCTGATATCTGTGTGCTGGTATCATAAGTTGTGGGAACGAGAGACATAATCTGTGTTCTTTCTGGTAACCAGTTGTTGTGGTCTCTGGGAGACGGGCTCCGAGGGTGCTCTGGGAACCATCTTCCTGTCATTTTCAGAGGCTTTGAAATGGGAAATGCACTGTGTGATGTGATGCTGTTTTACCGTTGCCCAGGGTTGGAATTATGAATGTTTACAAGTGCACGAGGCTCTGCAGAAGCCACCAAGCTGTGTATCTATCAGTTACCTGGTTTATCATTGCACAGAATCTGGGTTCTTTGGAGGAAGAGGTCAGTGGTAGCCAACGTTCTTAGCTTCATCTTGGCCAATTCAGTGATGTTATAAACCTGAGGCAGGGTCACATCTAGGAGATAT